CGAAATCTAATGGGAATATGTGAAGGAGTCCTATACCAAGCAGCGTCAAAGGTAAAACACCCGTGAGATTGACTGTCATCCGGATTCTATCGGATTTGAATGATTCCGATCGGTTCATGGAGTAATTTTGATGAGTTTCTGTCGATCAGATTCCAATTATCGAATTCGAAGGGATCACTACACTTTTTGAATCAGAATCCTGTCTGATTTTCTCGAAATCCGGATCGTAATTCGACCGGCAGGATTGTTTCTCTTGGGCATCCACAAACATGGATGCACATAAGATGATATTTTGTTTCTATATAAACATTTTGAATATGTTTTCTATTTCTTTAATTTGTGGTATCATTGATCAGATATTTGTTGTAAAAAATTACTTACTATATGAGACAAACGTGAAGAAATTCGTTTGGTGCGCGTGGAACACTTTTTATGCTGTTGAGTATATACTATTCGATAAAAAAACAAGTGCCCGATAGCTTTACTTTTGCTACCTATTTATTTATCAACGACATTTTTTCATGCATTGAAATATACAGCTCTTAAGCGTGTAAGTGTCGTTTTTGGACGTTGCCGACGTGATATTTTTCTGTTCTTTACTTTCGTGTTCTCTTTCGTTTTGTCGCTCTTTACTTTGTTTTTCACTTTCTTTGGTTTTTTTCGTTCTTTTGTCTTTTTTTTCTGCTATTATCTTTTTCGTTTCGATTGCATCGACGTGGCAAGAAAAATCTATTATGAAACGAGTTTTGTGTTTGCGTTGTCAAGGAAAATATGAAAAGTGACTGACTGTCCAAAACCAAGAGTAAAGAAATGTTTTTTGCCTTTATATGTCATATATGTGCATCTACAAATTTATGTCTTTTTCCAACTTAAAGAAAAGATTTCATTTTATATCAACACAGTTTTTAGACAGCAAATATCACGATACACCGACATTATTACAATATTTCTGAATTATGTACTAGTGAGTGCTGTAAATAGAAGCAAACAAGAGTCGTATGCTGGGAGAGCGACGGTACCTTCTGTAACCTAACCCAACCTAGTAACGATCGGATTAGTCTCATAAAATATGATAAACAAAATTAGGAGTCGCACGAAAAACTCAAGATTGGAGAGGTGCAGGGTGGGTTGGGAGAATGTAATGGAGACATTTTAAAGAAATTATCGTCAAATAACGTGAAATATACACAAAATCAGATTTGGCTACAATAGGAAAGGGTGTGGGTGGGTGTGGGCGTTATATTCATCTCACCGCCACAACCACAACCTACACTCACTCACACACCTACACCCACATCTACATTCTCAAGAGTTAATATCTTTTCTATGTGCAGAATTTATAAATGTTTGAGCTAAGGTCTTCAAAAGCCCTTCTAGTTATAATACTTTTGTATAGTACTCTTCATAAAAACTCGATACAAAATCAACAGGTCACTATTGTTTTAATCAACTTTCGTTCAAAAACATCAAAGTCTTTTCTCTATCACATATATGAAACGGATCCGAATCGTAGCATATCGATTGAACAAACCCTTCAGTGATAGATCATAGCTTAGGTGGATTGGCTCCTAAAATGATTTTACTCACGCTTTATCTTCATATTAGATGTTTCTATAAAACTTATCCTATTATTTTACATTGCAGCATCTACACTTACCGTTGCTCTTTACATAAATGAATGAAAGTTCTATGTCTCTAAGATTAACATCTGGCTTTAGTTACGTTTTCTCTATTTTTCTCATTGGTTAGCAATATTTAAAAAAAAGACATATACGCTTATTTGCGTTGGAAATAATAAAAAAAATAAATCTATCATCGTTGGTCTGGATGGATTTTCAATAAGTCCAAATAATGACAAATCAATGAAAGACTTTGATATAACTGAATAAAAAGTTTTTTATGTTCTACAAATAGTTACCTTTTCTTTATACTATTTTGTATCAATTGAACAAAAGCAAGTTTTTTTTCCAGACAGATTCTAAATTAATAGCTGAACATTTGTCAAAATATTAAAAAAATATTCAGTAAGCTACTGAAAAAATAATGTTCATGGAAACAACAATTTTATTCGCTTACATGATTACATCGATATGGAATATTTGCAACAAACATAACAATAATAAAAAACTGACTAGCTTCCTTTTTCTGAAAATTATCAGTGAATAAAATTGTGACAAATATGTGTTATCATCTGCTGCTAGAGTTGTAAGCCGTCGGCTTGGACGCGCGTCGGCGCTAGCAAAAATCGGCTGACGGCTTACACTACTATCTGCTGCTATAAATGCAGCAAACGCCAGACAAGTTCAAGCCTTCTAGGGAATGCGATTCTTGATAAAGAAACGCGTTAAAAGTCAGTGTTTTTTGAAGGAAATGTAATGTATCCTGAAAGAAAAAAAAACTATTAAAGCAACATATTTTTTTATACTCATTTTATTGTAACGAGTATGATGCACGATACGCGAGTGGTCTCATATATCTTCTATAGAAGATTCCGCATCTCCCACCAAAGATCTGTCCATTCTCCACTATACTGTCAACAAAAAGTAGAAAATAATAAACTTTTGCACTTTCTGCAATTTTTTATAAACTACTATAGGGATTATGAGCCGAAGAGTTTGTGGAAATAAGTGCTGAAAAAAAATCGTTAGAATTTATTATTTTCACGAAAAGAGTTGACTATTCTACAATTTTAATAATAGAGTTTATTATGTGTTCCTTTGAGTAAAAATTTGAGAATTTTTCGCCAAAGTCAAACTATTTGGTTCTTTTGATAAAAGTATCCATAGTGTAGAGCTCTATGGAAGGATCTTTTTTACTATTATAAAAAGAGTTAACCTATAATTGACGTAAAAAACTAGCAAAATACTATTTGGATATATTTTTTATACTACGTCAAATAAATAAAACTGATAAGAGATGAAACTGCTTGATTAACTATCTAGCATAACTTGCTATCAACAGAATAATAAAAAGTTGTATCAGGGTGTGAGTGAATATGAGAATTGTGTTGACTTACACCCACACTCGCACCCTATTGAAATAAAATAGCATACTTGATTTTTGTTCGTTTTTGTCTTTTCCTTGATCTTAAGTATGATGTTCTTTTACTTGAAAGTGTAGGTGTTGGTGTGAGTCAAACGAAAATAGACACCTACACCCACACCCACACCCACACCCACACCCACACCCACACCCACACCCTCTACGTTGCCGATTATTTCAATGATCGAGTGCAAAAATTAGAAATTTATTCAAATGCATAAGATTGTATAGAGTTTGTCTATTGACAATTGGATCTTTACTGTTTTTCTCATCAAAATTGTGTGTGTGTGCGAATGTGAATATAACAGAAATTCGCACCTTAAAACTTGTTGCAGTCAAATACATAAATGAATCATAGAACAGTAAGGGTGTGGGTGTGGGTGTGGGTGTGGGTGTGGTGGGTGTGGGTGTGCATATGTGACAGATATAATACTCACACCCACACTCACATTCACATCTACTTTCACACCCACACCCTCTTGTGGTCTACTAGCTACATTCTGATTAAAATTCATCAATATCTCGTAAATGAACACAAAGATTGTTCGAAACGTCGATTAACAATGATTAGCAATCATCTTGATCATCAAAATTCTTCTTTTACCACAAAAACACATTATTTCATCGTTTAAAGCTAGATTTTCAATTAAAGCTGAAATATTAATTTTCTCGAGTAAAGAGCATTACAAATAACCATCTTGAGAGTGTGAATATCAGTATTTTCTCTTTGTACATCCACACCTCTAGAAAATGTTTATTAGTTGAAAGAAGTAGTTAAGATCAACAAATGTAATCGAACTTGTTACGTAATTCAGTATGAGCAGAAGTTATCTAGTAGATATAAACTGCAACAATAAAATTTTAATAAAGAACGAAAATCCAAAAGAAGAATAAAAATAATTGATTTTTTTAACATTTATTATCAACAAAGATAAGAATCAGAAAAAAAAGACTTATCAGATAATTCTTTTGAGAGAAATAAAAATTAGAGCAGATTGTCGAAAAAAATGACAAGTTTTATTCATCTTGTCATGTTTTCAACATATTCTCTCAAGAGAATATTCCTACAAAAGGATATCAATAGAATTATTCAACTTCTTTAGAATAAACATCAAAACATTTTTCTATCTTTTCTTTTCCATAGTACTTTCGAAAACAGAGATTTTCCTAACAATAAATATCGGGAATACAATGATATATCATTCTAAAAAACTATCAACTAATCAAATATTTTTCATTCTTATGCCTTTAGATTATTTTTGTGTTTAGTGTCTTTTTACTTTGTCACTTATGATATCAATTTATTTGACAGATATATATTATTCATTGAAATAAATTTCACTGCGTAACCGTAACTGTATGTGTACATCCACAGTAAATAAAATACTGATTTACACTCTCATTCATCTCTTTTTACTTTCAATAATATAAATTCTATTTTCTTTTCCATTTATTTATTTACAACTAATTAATATTTTTTCCACAATATGTCTTATTTCTTTGACATGGACATTTGATTTGTGCTTTCCCCAGATTATTATCTACTTTATAAAATACAATAATTAAAATGTTCAAACTATTTCATGAAAAAGAGTTTCGCTGGAAAAAATTGATTTGTTTCAACATATTATTTATTTCTAATATTCATTTGAAAATGATTATTCATATGTTATCAACACATGTTAAACTCACTCTCATCAGAATACATATGGTTGATAACGAAGAATGATTAATATTCTTTACATCGATATTTATATCCACTCAGTTGTACAAATAATGATCTGTCTTTTATCAATCATTGCTCTTTTTCAATAGTATCATTTCGAAATATTAATCCAATTCATATATTATTTAGTGAATAATAATTTATTAAGCAATGCGAATGATTAAATAATTTGATTACATAAAAAAGTTTATAATTCAGTTCAGAAAAGAAAATGCCATTTTGTCGATATTGATTAATAAAGCTCAGCACTATTGAGATAAGTACTACCATCGTGGGTTCCACCAGTAACTAATATTTTTCCATTTGCTAATGTGGATGCTTTGTGAGAAGATCGTCCGATACTCATGTTTGCTGTGTTTGCCCAAGTGCCTGCTGATGGATTGTACAATTCAGCACTATTAAGATAACTAGCACCGTTGTATCCACTAGCAACTAATACTAATCCATTGGCTAATGTGGATGCTGTGTGAAATCCTCGTGCGATACTCATGCTTCCTGTAGTTGTCCAAGTGCCTGTTGATGGATTGTACACTTCAGCACTACTGAGATAAGTACCGTTGTATCCACCAGCAACTAACACTGATCCATTTGCTAATATAGTTGCTGTGTGATATTGTCTTGCAGCATTCATGTTTCCTTTAGTTGTCCAAGTGCCTGCTGATGGATTGTACAATTCAGCACTATTAAGATAACTAGCACCGTTGTATCCACCAACAACTAATACTGATCCATTTGCTAATGTGGATGCTGTGTGAAATTCTCGTGCGATACTCATGCTTCCTGTTGTTGTCCAAATGCCTGTTGATGGATTGTACAATTCAGCACTATTAAGATAACCAGCACCGTTGTATCCACCAGCAACTAACACTGATCCATTTGCTAATATAGTTGCTGTGTGATACTGTCGTGCGGCATTCATGCTTCCTGTTGTTGTCCAAATGCCTGTTGATGGATTGTACAATTCAGCACTACTGAGATAAGTACCGTTGGAACCACCAGCAACTAATACTGATCCATTTGCTAATGTGGATGTTGTGTGAAAATTTCGTGCGACACTCATGCTTCCTGTAGTTGTCCAAATACCTGTTGATGGATTGTACAATTCGGCACTATTGAGACAAACAATGTCGCTGGATCCCCCAGCAACTAATACTGATCCATTTGCTAATATTGTTGCTGTATGATATTTTCGTGGGACACTCATGTTTCCTGTGATTGTCCATTCTAAATAAAGTAGAAAGGTGAGCAGAAAAATTTTGTTCTTAAAATAACTCCGAATTTCTCATATGCATAAGTTGTCTATCAATTAATGTCACATTAAACGATTTCAAACTTTCAATAAACTTCTCTTTGTTTTCATGATTAAAATAAGATTCATTATGAAATGCTAAATCAAATTAATGGAAGATATCTTATAAACGACTTCATTGATACGTTTTGAATTTCGCTGATATATTGCAAACTGATGAAACTCAAGCACTATCCAACAATTCAGTTACGATAAATAATAATCGAATTTCAAAATTTGAATGAAAATCATTTGACATTGTTCAACATAGTGAAAATAAGATATACTTTCACCATGTTGCATGTGTAGTGTTTGCATGTAACAGGATATAGGTAAGAATGAATGTGACTGTGAGTAAGAGAATATAATTATCGCATCGTTCTCATGAGAAAATCAGTAGACTAAGAATTAATTGATGATGATGAAAGTCGATTTTCTCGACTTTGAAGTTTGTATTTTATATTACTACGATATTTTTTGAATTCCTCAACTCTATACAAATGCGACTTGAAACATGAGATTAGGTGTTGATAGACATGTTTCATGTCAATATTATGTTAACTAATAATCCAACCTGTAGAATTATTCTCCGATCATCTTGAGAGTGGGTGAATGTGACTGATTACTAAAATGCTCAATGAGTTTTATCACATGAAAACGTTTTTATCAAGAATATTTTCGTCTAATACTGTTAGACAAGATAAGAATATTCAATACTCAGATGAACGTAAATCGAATCAAATCATCAAAAACTGATCCTATTTCGACTATTGATAGTAAATATTCCCTAATGTTGTCGATTCAGATGGCGATCATTCAATAGTTAAAAAAATCGAAACTTTTAGATATCGTCACTTCTAGTGGCGTAACCAGAAATTTAAAGGTGATGGGGCTCAGCCCCAAAACCAGAAATGGACAACTCAGTTCGAAAAATGACGAACTCAATTTAACTCAATTCCATTCGTTAACCTAGTTGAATTCAATTGAGTACAACTTTTTAGTATGACTGAATTGAATTGAACTGAGTTGAATTCTGGAAAATTTTTAGTGGACGTGAATTGAGTTGAATTCAATTCAAAATTTTTTTTCGCGAATTGAATTGAATCAATTCACTTTTTTCTGCTGAGTTGCCCTGCTCTGCCCAAAACTGTCTAGTCTTTTCGATTTTTTGATTGTCAAGCTTAGTAACTAAAAAAGCTTATCAGCGCAGCCCCGTTGGGGCTAAAAATGTGGAACTCACGTATGTTCCCATCAAAATATCTGATCATGTTTAAGCTCTTTGTCTTCTTTTTTTGCTCAAATTTAGTTAATTTATAGCTATTTTTGACAATTTTTGGTTATTTTTGTTAAAATTCTACTAATTTATAGCTGTATTTAACCATTTTGCTTATATTTTATAGAAAATTCCATAATTTATAGCTATTTTTAATGATTTTTGCGTATTTTTATTGAATTTGGGGGGGGGGGGGAAGGGGGGCTGGGAAA